TTTCAAGCTAAATGTGTATGATTAATCCTTCTCCCCATCACAATCTTCCAAATATGTGAAGATGGCTATCATAGCCACCAAGTATTTTCTCTTTTTAATATTCTCATTTCTTTCAATTGCTTCATCAAAAAATGGTTAGATACAATTTTATTTTTTTTAAGTCATGAACTGCTGTTAATTCAGATCCATCCTTAAGATTTTTTTTAATTGATGTAGAATTTGAAACTCTGAATTGGATGATAGATAGATTGGATGATATATAAAGAAAAGCATATAATTTTAATCTCTATATTTTGAAGAATTAAAAAGGAGAAAAAATTTGGTAAATAGGATATATGTAGAGTGCTTGTGAAAACAGAGAATAGTAAAATACTTGCTGTGCTGATTAATAATGTAATGATTTCCAAGTAGCTTAAGACAGTGTAAAACAATAACTACATTTTAACTATGACAGATTGTGCAAATACAAGACGATCTTTATATACTCTTCACCTTGATAACCTGAGTTGCATGTTGTTCCTAGTACAAGACCTGTACCTTCTTGCTTCTGCATTTTGATTATGATATTCCCTCTCATCTAAAAAGTTCTTCATCTTCGCCAAAAGGCGGAGAAACATCTGTACCCCCATAATATGCTGAAATAAAATAAAATTAAAAAAAAAAAAAGTTCTTCATCTTCTCTTTGCTGGTCCAAGTATCACCAAATCTTTAAAGTGCAGCCCAAATACTACCCTCTGGGAAGCCTTCTCTAATTCTCCCAGTAAAAAGTTCTCTATCTTTTCCTCTTCTAAAAGAGATCTCTCTATCCATTATGATTTTTTGGAGAGTGTCTTCTTCCTAACAGTCTTTTTGAAAATGGGATCAGTATCTAATTCATTCATGTGTCACAACATCTTATAGTAAGTTCTAAATAAATATTTATTAAACAGATAAAATCTCTAGTAAATCCTTTTACCATGGAAATATTAACATTGCTAATCTGTACCCTTACTTTGTATTTTCTAAATGCATCTGAAATAATATTCTCTTAATACATTAAAACCAACAGTCCTTAATATCCTTTCAGTTCTTATTTTCTTTCACTTCTGCTTTGTTATAGTTGGAGAAGTTGTAACGTTAAGAGCTGTTCATTGTGTAATCACAAGCTCTTAGCCAACATTGAAAGTTAAGAAATAAATGTGTTATAAGGTGCTACGACTATAAGAAAGGAAAATGAAAGAACAATTAATAAATGATATTGATGTATAACCAATTAATACCAAATACTTATTTGGCCATCTAAACATAGTGATTTTTTCTATGCTGCTGTTCCAACTGTAACAGAATGCTAACATGCATCCCAACAGGTAATTGATCATTTATGCAGTGATTCTTAAATGCAGTTTTATGCTGTCATAAAGTAGTGCTGGAATTTTGTCTTTCTTTTTTTCTCCCTTAGAAGGAATTTCCCCTCTTCCTTTTTAGTTGTAAAAAATGAAAGAATCTTCTTTTATTCTTCCCCAACATTTTTAGCTACAATCAAGCTTTTGTCTGGTGAACAACCTTATGATCCAACTACTATTTGAATTTACACTGCAGAGATGGTTAAAATCCTGGCTGTGTAGTACAATAGTAATAATAACACTGATCACAGAATCACTGTTGTAATTCAGCCCATGACGCATTGAAAATTAGGTATTTATTTCACAGAAAGAACAATACTGAGGGGTAAGAAGATATAATCTCAAAAAAAATGTAGCAAAGTACTATGCCAGTTTTAATGGATTGACCTTCAATCCATTAATAGCTATTTGGCAACCTCAGATTTTCTACATATCTTCTAATTATTTGTTTCTGACTCATATCCATTTTCCTACCTATAATCTTAATCAAGCCTTCCAGGCTCTCAAATCCTACTTCCAGCGTTGCTTGATCATTGCAAACAGCATTGATCTCCCTCTTCTCTTAGTTCCTGTTACTTTCATAATCTGTATCATACCAAGCAGCAATTCATAAATGCTCTTATTTTGTTCAAACAGAAGCCTGATTTCTCTAAATGAATTTTAAGACCAGTGAGTTTGTCTTCTCTTTTCCGATACCCTTCTTAGCACAATACACAGCAAATGCTTATGATATAGATGAATAATCCTTGCTCTTCTTCCCCAACTCATGTTTTAAACAATACGTTATTAAGAAATCCCTTACATTGTGAAATAAAAAATGCTATCCATTACCCATAAACAAGATAGTGGGTGCCAAGGCATAAGTATCCTATTTTGAATTCAGTTGAAGTTATCTTACTGCATTCCCTAAATGTCTGATGATCTGACAAAAGTGGGTAGGCAAATAAATGTGAGGCACACTGGATTCTTTCACGCAAGATTCCTTAGATCTTTAATATTCTAGAGATATCAAATGAAATCTTTCCCCAACTTATTTGGCCAAGAAACTTTTCTTTCCCTGAAATGTCTCTTTATGAATTGAGCAAGATCCTTAGCACTGTTCTCAGCTAAGCAGTTTTAGAAATGACAGGATATCAAATGGTCCTAGTAATGTCCACCTTAGCAACTAAGATTATCAGTAATCAAAAAAAAGATGCATCTGAGTATTTCAACTATGATACACTTTCACTACTTAAAAAATAAAGAAATCATAAAATGAGTTAATGTGGTTCATATTATTTAATATTCCATTAGATAAAAATAGAGGATATTTACAGAGTAAATTTGATTTTAATTCACAACAATATTTTCAATACAGAGACATAAAAGTTTACTAAATAAAGGACAAGAGAAAAGGGATAGGATATGTTGACTTCTTAGTGGTAAAAGTCTTCTTTTACGGTATAGTATATATTCTTCAAAGCCTTTCTCTATGATTTTAGTGTTTGTTGGTTTTTATTCCTGCTTTGTATGTCTGAATTAATACTGATCTTTTTTCTTTATATTTTGAGAGAGATAAAAAAGTATAGAAAAGTAGGGAGCATCATGTTCCCACCACCCAGACCACATAATCACCATCATATTTACTTCAATCTTTTTCTAGTAAGCAGTACAACAGTTCTGTCATTCACTCAAGATGTACTTATTGAGAGTCAACTGTGTTAGCACTGTGCTAAGCATTGGACATTTAATGGTGAGTAGAATAGCCACACGACCTGTTATCATATATCTTACAATCTGGTGGAAGAAACACAAGTAATCACAGAAATAATTACATTCTGAAGTGTTATGAAAGTGCCAATCAGCCTTTCTGAAGTGGGATTCCATAAGAGAATTCAATCCTACTGAAAATTATTTAAGTGATTATTTTCTCAATTCTCTTAGGATTGGTACATAGCTAATATCATCCTAGAAGTAGAGGAAGGAAGTTAATTCATTACATACAATGGGTAATGGGTCTTAAAGCATTAGGAGCTGATTCTCAGAACCAGTTGAGAAGGGCAGGTACAGACACTGTGGGAGAACTGACCTAGCCACTGGTGGTGGTGGGGGTGGGGGTGAGGGGTCAGCCAGGAGGCTAGTTACCTATGGAAGTGAAGTTTGTGTTGAAATCTAAAGGATGTATCAGTTACCTAGGCCAGGGCTGGGTGGGGTAATAGTGTAAAAGGTTGTCTTTTCAGGAAATAGTGTATTTCAAGGCTCTAAGGGACAAAGGAACAAGATGATTTTGGAGAATTAAAAGAAGACCAATATAGCAAATGTAAAGAGAATGGGAAAGAACAGCAAAACTTGAGAAAAACAGGCAGGTAGGCAGGGACCAGAAAAAAATGACTTAGTCAAACTGCATCACAAAAGGTCACTGTGGCTCTAATGGGCAAGAGAAATAAGAGTGGATGAGGAAGACCAGTGGGTAAGCTTCTATAGTAATTGAGGTGAAAGATAACTGCTTAGACTAGGATGGTGATGGCAAGGATGGAGAAAAGTAGGCAGATCTGAGTGGCAGTTAAAAGGCAAGGGAAGGGATAAGGGAGTGAGGGATGTGTCAAGAATGACTCAGGTTCTGGGTAGACAGTGCTGAAAACTGGGGGAAAAAAGTGTGGAGACTAAATTTCAAGTGTGTTTTTAGGTTTGAGGTAACTGAGATATCTGAAAAAGATGTCAAGGAGGCAACTACATATATGAATCTGGAGTAGAAAGAAGGGTCTGGTTTGTAGTATTTCACCAAGAGAAAAAAAATGAGAGGGTATGGGTAGGGATCTTGAGAAGTCATCAAGCTTAGGTAGCACATATAAAAAGCAAGATGTGTTATGTATAGTATGCGTGTGTTATGCAGAAAAAAGGTGATATACATAAAGATTGAGAAAAAGGGTAAAGTTAGATGGATGGTTTTCTTAAGTATTTTCCTCCTTATGTGAAAAACTGCTAAAGACAGTTACAGGCACGGGTATCTATGTTATTTTTGCACTGTACATGCTATTTTTTTTCAAAACAGTTCTAAATTATCTGATTATCTATGTTCCAAAATTAGATACCCAGTTGATAGTAAATCATTAAGCAATTTTCTTGTAAATATATTCAGAAGTAAAATACGCTTATAGCTCCATTCTCTTCCTTTTTAAATTTTTTCGGTATTTTTACTCTACCTTCTATATAAATTAAGCCAACTTCGCAATTTTCACAGTTTTGCATTATTTTAGAGAAATATAAAGAATATTACCCTCAAAATTATACAGTGTCATATTAACCAAACATTTACTAATATGTGAGCCATTTTATTTAAATTATTGCTAAAATACTAAATATTAGAATCAAGTTTACCATTGGGTGGTTTTAGTACATGATATGCTGAATTTTTCACTCTACAGACTTTTTAAAATAAGCTTTGATAAAAATGAAATGTCAAATAAAGTCCTTATTGAAAGAAAGAAAATCCCATGTAGTGCTTTATCAGAGAGGATAAGAAATTATAATCCTATGCTGTATTTTTCTGCTTAAATAACTACAGTCCTAGATTTATTCTTTAGTTTAAGTCAGTTATTGGAATGCTTTTATAATCTCTTATTTCAATTTGTTACATACCAGTTAGCAATGTCCTTGTGAGCTATTAAATTTTGAAGAAATGCTTGTAATCCTAATTGTCTATCTTCTAAAAAGTCGGCATTGTAATTGTCTTTAAACCAGCGTTTTGGTGGAAGTGCTAAGCGAAAGCCTGGAAACATCTCTTTTAACTGAAAAAGAAGAAAAGAACAAATATAATATTTAACTTGTTTATATCAATTTTACAAAATCTATCCTGTTGACTATGTAGTTATTCATGAAATAAGCTCAAAATAAGAGAATCAAATTCAGCTAAGCTTTTTATCCCTTGTTTTATTTCTTTATTTCTACCAGTTTTGTATATATTGGAGTTCTAGTTTTTCCACATCCTTTGCCAAAACTTGGCATTATTCTTCTTTTCAATGTTAGCCATTCCAGTGGGTGTATAGTACCATTTCATTGTGGCTGTAATTTGCATTCCTCTCTTGACAAATGATGTTGAGTATCTTCTCATCTGTTTATTTGCATTTGCATATCTTCTTTCGTGAATTATCTGTTTAAATCTTTTGATCCTCTCTTTTTAAAAAATTAGGTTGCCTTTTTATCATTAAGTTACAAGAGTTCTTTCTAGATTCCAGATACAAGTCCTTTGTCAGATATATATCACAAATATCTTCTCCCAGATGTGGCTTGAATTTTCAATTTAATAGTCTTAACAGATGTTTTAAGTTATCTAATTCATCCACTGTTTCTTTTATGGTTTATGCTTTTTTAGATCATAAGAAATTTTTGCTCACTCTAAGGCTGCAAAGATTTTCTTTTATGTTTTTTCCTAAATGTTTATAGTTTTAACTTTCATATTTTGGTTTATGATCCATTTTGCACATTTGGATTAAATTTTTACTTTCTTAGAGAAGACATTCCCAACCTTCAAAACTAGATTAAATCTCCCTTTATACATTCTGCTCAAATTACTATGTGTAACAAATTACCTGAAAACTCAGTGGTATAAAATAACCATTAAAGCTTATGAATTCTGTGGGCCAGTAATTCACATGGGGTACCATGAAGATGACTTATCTCCATTCTATAATGAATTGAGGACTCAGCTGGAAGACTTGAAGGCTGGGAGCTAGAATTGTCTGAAGATCACTCACTCACATGTATGGATGATGCTAGTTGCTTAGCTGGGGTAAGATCTTAGCTGGGGCTGTCAGCCACAAACCTAATATCAGCCTTTCCAGGTGTCCTGGATTTTCTCAAAAGCATGGAGGCTAGACTTTGAAAGGGAGCATTTCAAGAGAGAAAGCCAGAATGAAACTGTATACTTCTTGTGATCTAGCCTTGAAAGTCACATAGTGCCATTCTCTTCTTTTAAAATTTTATTTTTTTATTTTTAATTATTATGGGTATGTAATAGTTGCATATCTTTATAGGATACATGTTATGTTTTGATACAGGCAAACAATGTGTGTTAATAAAATCAGGATAATTGGGGATAAATGCCACAAGCTCAGGCATTTATCATTTCTTTGTGTTAGGAACATTCCAATTCCACTCTTTTAGTTATTTTAAAGTATACCCTAACTTATTGTTGATTATAGTCATTTGTTGTGCTATCGAATATTGTTCATTGTATCTATCTAACTATATTTTTGTACCAATTAATCATGCCCACTTTATCCCCCTCTTCCTGCTACCCTTCCCAGCTTCTGGTAACCACCATTCTACTCTCTGTTTCCATGAGATCAATTGTTTTTAATATTTAGGTCCCACATAGGAGTGAAAACACAGCATCATTTTCACTGTCCTCTATTGGTTCGAGTAGGCACAAGCTCATCTGGATTCAAGGGGTGGGGAAATAAATTCTACCTCTTGATGGGCAGTGGCAAGAGTCTGGAAGAGCATATAGGACTGCAGATATTGCTGTGGTCATTTTTTTTGAAAGACAATCTGTCACACATTGTCCAATCACGAATTTATTTTTTTAATGACATTTATCACAATGTAAATAGTGCTTATTTAATTTGGCTCTCCTACTAGACCAGTGATTCTAAATTTTGGCTGCATATTGGAATCACCCAAGGAGTTCTGAGATATTAATGACAGTGTCTTACCTCTGACAAATTAGGATTTAATTAGTTGGAGTGAAGCCTGAGCACTGTAATTTTAATTTAAAATTTTAATTTTAAAAAGCTTTTGAGGGGAGTCCAACGTGTAATTAAGATTGAGAATCATTTTACTACACTACAATTATTATGACTTAGTCATAGTTGCATCCTTAATGTCTAGCATAGTGCCTGCTACATAATAAGCCGTCAATATGTGTTCAAAAAATAAATGAATGGAATGAATCCATGTACATTTATATTTCTATGCTTAAATATAAAACTAAATATTTTAAGTATAAGAAAAGCTAGCAAAAGGGAAAAATGCACAGGGTAAAATATTAAATAAAAATGTGAATTATAACTTTCTGTCTATATTTCTATAAATATGTGAAGATAAAATAAATAAGGCAAAAACCAGAAAATAACTTGTATAACTGAAAACCCTGATTTCACTTCAAGATGTAAATGAGATTTTTTGCTTTGCAGCTTTGTTATTTAATGTATCTGCAATGAAAATAAAATAATAAAAGTCAGGAAGAAATAGGTCTTTTTTATTAATCTTAAGCTTCATAATTTAAATGTCATATGTCCAAATACAGAGATTTTTTTTCCCTTAAAATTTTTTCCACAGAAAAGAGGGAATTGTCCCACAACTAAGTACTTCAAAGAAAGAGGAAGATAAGGGATAGAGAAAACAAGATCCAACAAAGGAGAGAAATGAAAAAAATCACCAGAAAGACAGTGAAAGGCAATCTCAGAATGCCACTTATGAACCACATGTTGAGGGCATATCAGTTGAGGACAGAGCAGTGTGACTCAACCACACTTTAAAAAGGATAAAATAATTTAGCAGTCTACATTTTACTTTTTTATTTAAACTGAGGTTTTCAGAGTGGCAAAAACTTTTTGGCAGCTAGATAGTTGCAAAGTTACATGGGTTTCCCACCACCAAACATTATAAGAATGTACTGACTTTAGAAGTTTTGAGTAGTCTAAGGGAGCACAGGGAAAGTGGCGAATGGGGGAGAACAGGACCAGTATGGCTTTCTCTATTAAACACTTGTCAAAATTGGGGAGTAATTTCTGCATGTTCTAAGATCATCTTACTTGGCCTCTCAAAACACCATAAACCACTCGCTTCTTTTGGAAAAATGGTCTTTTTTTTTGGTTTCCAAAATGTCCTCCCCACCCACCGTCACCCCATCTGGTTTTCCTCTAGCTCTGGAAGCAGCTCAGCTCTTTTGTATTATAGCCTAAGTGTAATTTACTTAACGTTTCACTTTTAGAAATTTAGGTTACTTCCAATTTTTAACTATTAAAAACAAAGTAAGACAGAAACCAAACAATAATATATAAAACACTGTAGTAAGTATCCTTAGAACTAAGGATACTATCCTTAGAACTAAGGATACTATCCTTAGAACTAAGTCTTTCCCATATTTATGACTGCTTATATAGAATAAATCCTAGAAATGAGATTATTGTGTCAAATTATGCAAAATTTTAGGGTGTCCTCTAGGAAGACTTGTACTTCCAACACTGCATAATACCATTTAAATGTCTGGTAATTTGACAGATGAAAAATAGTTTATTTAGTTTTTCTTGGAGTACATGTGATATTAAATGTTTTCCAGATACATTGGTCATTTATACTTCTTTTGTGAATTACCCTGTTCATAGCATTTGTTTTATCTTTTACGTCTGGGCTCATTTTTTACATTTATTTTAAAGGTTCTTAATATATTGAGGTTTATTATTATCTGCTCTGTTTCATATTTGCAGTAGACAGAATTCTAGATGGCCTCATGACTTCTGCCTCTGGTGGTGGTTCTATAATTTTGGTATGTTACTATGTTACACAGCAAAAGAGATTTTTACAGCTGTAATTAAAGTGATTAATACTAATCAGTTGCCCTTAAGATAGGGAGATTATCTGGGTGGGCTTTATCTTATTACATGAGCCCTTTAGACTAGAATGTTTTCTCTGGCTGGTAGCAGAAGAGAAAGTTGGAGATTCAAAGCACAAGAAGGACTTGGACCACTGTTGCTGGCTTTGAAGATGGAGGAGCCATATGCAAGGACCGGAGAGCATTCTCTATGAGGTAAGAATGATCTCTGGCTGACAACCAGCAAGGGAACAGAGACGTTGGCCCCACAGCTTCAAGAAACTAAATTCTGCCAACAACCTGAATGAGCTTGGAAGCTGACTCTTCCCCAGAGTCTCCAGATAAGAGCCCAAGGCCCAGCCAACGGCTTGATTTTGACCTTGTTTGATTCTAAGCAGCAAACCCAGATGGACCCATCCAAACCACTAAATAATAAATAGGTGTTATCTTAAGCAACAAAGTTTGTCATAATTTGTTATGCAGCAAAAGAAAATTAACACATGTGAAAAATATTCTTTTGTTTGTTCTCTTGTAGTCATATATAATTTTATAAGGAATCTCATTATACACATCTTTTTCAAATGCACAATATTACATAATCATTTATATTTCTGTTAGTGACTTAAAGTATCACATTTTTACACCAAAAATAATTTTATTTTTCCCGCAAAAATGAAGTTATTTGTAAAGAAGGGATTTAAAGCTATTAAGGAGAAATATTTATTTTTCTTATGAACTAGCAAAAATTTGAACTGACTCAAATAATTAACAAAGAAAATAATCCAAATACAGCAGAAGTGTAGGGAACATAATAATTCAAAATTGAAATGTCAGTTTTGGATTTATTAAAGTACTTACTTTGTCATTAAGCCTAGAGAAGTCAGTGTATCTTCTGAAAACTACCCAGCTTTCTTCTGGGGTTTTCTTTACTAGTATTTTATATACCTATGCAGAGACAGAAAGAGAGAGAGAGAAATATATATATCTATATATATATACACACACACACATATACAAAGGTAAAGTTATTACAAATTAAAACTTTTAAAAAATATTTTTTAAACTTTTACTTGATAACCCAGACTATATAGCATTATATGAAAAATATCAAAAATAATTTAGATCATCAAAAGTACAAATAATCAATGCTGGCAACAAAAACAAGGTTTTTGTCTTAAGAAATATGAATATAACAAGTTTGAGATGAAATGTTTTTTCTGTGCACACTAATTATAATGAATTCATCAGCTTCCAAAATATTTTATATCACTATATTCTAAAATTGATAAAAGAATCATGCTTGAAGAAGCTTTGAAAAATAGCCACTTTTATCCCACACAATTTTTAAACTTAATAGCTATCAAGCAAAGTTTTCAAATAAGTTCAATGTTGTTTTATCTTCAAGGATGACATAAAAGCCTGAAAAAAAAACCCTCATATTAGATCAAAGTTTACATTTTTGTAATTATGTACAATTATCTAAGTTATCGAAAAGAAAAATTTGGTTGAAGCAAGTCAACATATTTTAAAAAGCACATAAGAATAAAGTAGATTCTAGTTTTTTATAAATATAATTTTAGAATTTATTATGAGGAGCATTATTTATGACAAAAATCTCAGAGAAATATGTAGTAGCTTTTGGTACAGTATTTTGGAGTAAGCTAAATGCATAGTACATATGAAGTACTCAATAAATGTCTCCTAAATGAGTGAAATTCTCTTAAAAAGGGTTAACTTCTTTTCTTGATGTCTGCTGTGCAATAATTTTTAATTGCAGCCTTAGAGCTGTGTTTTAGCCACACATGAACACTCAAAATGAGACTGGTCCAAACTGAGATGTGCTGTGAGTACAAAATACAGATTGGATTTCAAAGACTTGGTGTGAAAAAGATGTAAATGGCTTTTATTTAAAAAGTTAAATACTGATTACATGGTGAAATGATAATATTTTGCATATATTATGTCAAATAAAAGATATTATTAAAAATATTTTCAACTGTTTTAGTTTTTTTTTAATGTGGCTCATAGAAAATTTAAAATTATAGATGTGATTCACATTTGTGGCTCACTTTATACTTGTATTGGACAGTGCTGCTCTAAAGACAACTATCTAGGGACTGTAGATCATCCTTACCATTTGATTTTTCTCCCACACAAACTCCTCTTTCGGCTCTTAAAGGGGAGAATCAGCAAGACTTATGGATAAATCCTTTAGGTTTGAAGTAAAAAACAAGTAATTTATCTTTGTAACATATGAGAGTGGGGAACAAGGTAATTGGATACCATTTAAAGCCTGCAGAAAGTCCTGATCTATTAATAAGAAAGTTGCAATGGGGATACAAAAGAAACATTCTTTTCAGGAGTCACTTATTAAAACAAAGGAGAGAAATTGACTTCAAAACTTTTCAGTATGAATGACTCATGTATGATAAAAGTTCACATCACATAATAATTAGGTTTATCTAAAAATAATCCACATCAACTTTATTTTTCTGTTTTAGAAAATGAACTCTCCCTTCTAACTAAGCTATTCTCCACTGTGGCCGCTGAACAGTCCTGTTTCTCTACGAAAGATAAAGTACAGACTTTTGCATTTTATCTTTTCTATCTTTCTACATGTTTAAGTAGTGCTTTCAATGAAAACTTTATGTATGGTACTGATCATTCCCTTCTCTATGTTCTAATAGTAGTTGTTTCTACTCTTTATTTGAAACTTAGTATCTAAGTCCTTGTTTTTAATTATAAAATATATACAGAAAAATACACAAATCAAAAGCATACAACTTGACAAATTTTCACAAAGTGAACACACCCATGTAACTATTAATAGTATCATGAGCAAGAAACAAAACATTACCAATTGAAGAAACCCATCTTATGCCTCCTTCCTGATCCTACTCATCACCCATCCCACTGACTTTTTGTTTTTAAACACCCTTTTCAAAGACTTGACATTTTATAGATCACCAAATCAACAGTTGGTCCTAATACTTTCTTATAAGTTATAAGCTATTTTCTTATAAGTTATAAGGTCAAGTCAAAGGAATATATCTAGGAAAAATTATTTTACAAACCCAGACTTTCAAGTTTGTATCTTCAGCTCAGATCTCTTCCCTAAACTCAACAAATACACACACACACACACACACACACACACAGAGATATGTGTATGCATTCACATACCTGACATCTCCATGTCAATACTAATAGACATTTCGAATTTTCCATGTCCCAAAACAAATCCTGATCTTTCCCTCAAAACCTGCCATCTAATTAAATGGCAACCACATTCTTCTCATTGTTCAGGCTGAAAACTTTGAGGTCATCTCTGACTTCTCTTTCTCCCTCACACCACTTCTAAATCATTAGGAAATATTGTTGGCTCTACCTTCAAAACAGATCCAGAATCTGATCATTTCTCAGGACTTCCTCCACCACCCTAGTTTATACCACCATCATGTCTCCCTTGGATTACTGCAAGAACCTACCATCTGCTTCCTGCTTCTACTCTTTGCTCCCCCAAATCTAGTCTTAATTCTTCAGCCAGAATGAACTTTTTAAAACATTAAGTCAAATCACAGGACTCTTCTTTTAGAAACCTTTTCAGGCTGGGTACAGTGGCTCAAGCCTGTAATCTCAGTAATTTTGGAGGCCGAAGTGGGAGGATTGCTTGAGGCCAGGAGTTTGAAACCAGCCTGAGCAACATGGTGAGATCTCAGCTTTACAAAAAAAATTTTTTTTTCTTTTTCTTTTATTTCAGCATATTATGGGGGTATAGATGTTTAGGTTACGTATGTTGCCCTTGATTAGCTGGGCATGGTGGGGTGCACCTATAGTCCCAGCTACTCAGGCAGCTGAGGTGGGAGGATAATTTGAGTATAGGACCTGGAGGCTGCAGTGAGCTATGATCCTGCCACTGTTCTCTAGCCCAGGTGACAGAACAAGACCCCATCTCTAAAACAACAACAAACACAACTTTTCAAGGATTCCCATCTCATGCAGACTAAATTCAAAGTCCTTACAATAGCCTCATGCTGTATGTGATCTGTGTGCCACACTCCCCTGCCTTTACTTGTCATCTCATTTCCTGTACTTCTCCACATTGCTTACTCTGCTGTCAGCTACAAGAATCTTTGTAGTTGACCCATTTGTGTGGAAAGTTCTTTCCTCAGATAGTCTCATGGCTCATTCCCTGTTGGTACTAACATCTCTTCTGTGAGGCCATAACTGACAACACTACTTAAATCCCAACCCGTTTCGTGGAAACTCTCTCTCTTCCTTCCTTCTTTCATCTCTCTATGGTACTTATCACCATGTGACATATCATCAGTCTTTTTATTTACTTATCTATCATTCATTCATTCATTCAAGTTGCTGTACTGTTATTACCCAGAACAGTACCTGATGCATAACAGGTAATCAAAAAATGTTGAGTTAATAAATAAGTGAGTATGACAAATTTCACATCTGTCATTCACTTCTTCATCTGTAGTGTCTTGAAAGACTTTATATTTTTATACCACTGTTTTAAATTTGGCTATGTACTTGCATGTTTGCATATATCACCTGTCTTAGTCTGTTAGGGCTGATGTAACAAAATATCATAAACTGGGTAGCTTATAAACAACAGAAATTTATTTCTCACAGTTCTAGAGGCTGGGAAGTCCAAGATCAAGATATCAGCAGATTTGGTGTCTGGTGAGGGCCAGCTCTCTGGTTTACAGATGACACCTTATACTTGTGTCCTCACATGTGGAAGGGGCAAAGGAGCTCTCTGGAGCCTCTTTTATAAGAGCATTAATCCTATTCATGAGGGCTATGCCCCTATGACCTAATCATTTACCAAAGGCCCACCTCTTAATACCATTACCTTGGAGGTTAGGGCTTCAACATATGAATTTTGAGGGAACACACATTCAGACCACAGCATCACCTCAATGAATGCTCATTCCTTCATAAGGAAATAAACCATCAGTTTATTATAATTTCTAAAACTGTTCCCAAAAAAGACAGTTCTATACAGATTTCCCATATCACCAGTCTTATGATAACTTAATTTTAAAGAATGTGTCTTCATAAATTGTCTCAACAGTTTTTTCTTGGAGGTCCTCCCATTCTGTCATAAATATACAGTATGAAACATTGAAGTAAACATAAAAACTTTACTTCAAGAAAATCCAAAAGAACAAGCTCTTTGAAATAATAAGTGACTTAGCAAGGTCACATAAAACTATATAGGTCAACATAAATAAATAAATAAATCTACAAGGTCAAAGTATATAAATTAGCAATGAACAATTTAGAAAACAAAACAAAAGATCTCTCTTATAAGAACATCAAACAATATCCATATCCAGAAACAAATCTAACCAAAAGATGTAAGATCTCTGCACTGAAAACAACAAAACATTATTAGAAGAAATTAAAGAATTAAGTCAATTAGGTTCATAGATTTGAAGACTGAGTATTACAAAGATGTCAGTTCTCCCTAGATTAATCTATAGATTTAACAAGATCCCAATAAAAATGGCCAATAGCCAAGGCGATCCTGAAGAAGACCACCAAAATTAGAGTACTTAAACTACTAGGTATCAAGACCTATTACAAAACTTTACTAATCAAGACAGCGTGAAATTAGTAAAGGATGGAAAAATAAAACACAGAAGCAGACCCTTACATTTACGGTCACAGGATTTATGATATAGGCAACACTGCAAATACAAAGGAGAAAGGGTGGTCTTTTAAATAAAAGCCTGATTAATTGATCCTCCCCCAAAAATGGCTTGACTCACACCATGGTCAAAAATCAATTTCAGATGGTTTAAAAAATCTAAATATGAAAGGCCCAACAATAAAGCTTTTAGAAGAAAACATAGGACAGTATCTCCGTAACCTTGGAGTAGGCAAAGATTTCAAAAAGTGCAAGCCACAAAAGAAAAAAGAAATTGGACTATATTAAAATTAAGAACTTTTGTTTATCAAGTCTATTATTAAGGAAGTGAAAAGGCAAACCACAGAGTGAGAGGATAGTCACAGAACATGTTAGCTGGAAAAGGACTTAAGTCGAGAATGCACAGAAAACTACAAATCCAAGTGGAGATGACTTCTCAAAAAGAAAAATGGACAAAAACCTTGAATAGACATTTCATAATATCCAAAAGACCAAAAAATAAAAAAATTCATTTTAATTTGTCTTTAAGAAAATTAAAATTAAACCCACAGTGAACTATTACTCTATTCACTAGAATAGCTAAAATGAAAAAGATGTTAAAACACCACGTTGGGAAGGTAAGGACCAAATGGAACTCTCATTTATTGCTTATAGGAATGTAAATTGGTACAACCACTCTGCAACACTGTTCATCAATATCTTCTAAAGATACACATACGATCTAGCAATTTTACTCTTAGGTAGAAATCAAACAGAAATGTATCCATGTGTCTACCAAGTGGCAAGTACTAAAATGTTGAAAGCAGTAGTATTTGTAGGAACCCCCAAATGGAAATTATTCAAATGCTCTTTAACAGAAGAATGGATAAATTGTTGTATATTCACATTAAGGAATATTATCGGTAATAAAAATGAGCTACCTACAATTTATGCAAGACTAACACTGCATCTTACAAACATAATGCTAAAGAAAGGAAGCCAAACCCAAAAGAGTATATACTCCATTAATTCCATTTATATAAAGTACTAAAATAGACAAAATTAATCTAGTTTATGAGAAAGTGTTGGGTGAGTGGGTCCTGACTGGCAGAGAGCATAGAGTGCTTTTAGGATATTAGTTATGTTCTGTTTCTTGATCTATATGCTAGTTTCAGTTACACAGGTGTGTCTCGTTTGTGAAAATTCATTAAGGCAAAAACAAACGTTTACTATAGCATGACAGAATTTAGTGGTATAAAAACCATTAGAATTTCATGTTCAAGAAATTATAAGCACAGGCTTACATCAATCAATTTAACACTGGTTTAAACACACAGGTTGGCCAATCTTTCACTTTCTACTGTTACATAGCAGAAGTCCATACTTACAGTAAATTTAGCTCTTTCTTCCATCACTTCATAACCCAGTATGGTAGGTGTAGATGGTCTATCTTCCCAATTCACTGTTTCAGGATTTTGTTCCTCCGTTTCTCTTGGTCTAGTAGAATACTCAATGGAAGAATCTGCACCTGTAAATTTAGTCCTAATGAGGGGGCTGCTACAGACAGATGAAGTACTATCCATTTGATCAGGAACACTTGTCTGTTTACAATTACCCATATTCGAGTCTTCTAACTGGCCTTTGGAAGAGTTTGAGCTTGTTGAGATACTGCCAAAAGAAGAACTTCTTTGATTTCTGTTGGTTGTAAAACTGGAAGCAGAGTTTCCTATGGGCATAGGAACTGGGACATACGGAGTTGCCATCTTCTTTTGGTCTTTGCAAAAAATCTTAAAATGATTGAGTCCAAATACTTAGAGAACAACTAATATGCAATCCATTATTTTCTTCTTAGGAATTCACTATCTAAAAATGAGAAGGACATATTAAAGATTAGTCTTTAATCTTGAGCAGGATCCAAAAGAAAATAAAATGTTCTTTTTAATTTTATGACACTCCTATTGTTTTATTTGGAATGAAAACACACCTCAAACCCTTTCCTTTAATCCCAATTATCTCTAAGAACTTCCATCGGCAAGGTAAAGACAACACAACTGTTTCGCACCTTTTCTTGACCATCATTTAACATGTTACCTGCCTCCCCCACTACTTTATTTCCTTGGAAGGAAAGGAAAAGATTACAGAAGGATTTCTGTAAAGTTCATTTTAACTGTTTTTGACTATTTCATAAAAGAGTTGGTGTGAAGACCCTCCATGCTTATCATCCTGAAGTACTATATATAGTACAGGAGGGAAGGAGAGATGGGAGAAAGAAAGGGAGGAAAATTATTCTCATTACCTTTTGATTTTATTAGTGAAACTCTCAAGGCTTACGCAGAGTCATAACAGTAAACCACAAGCTTAGTTGCTATACAGGAAATATTGACTGCCCCTGAAGTTACATTTTATAGAACCCAGGATTCCAGGATCAAAAGTATTTTTAAAATAAACTTGATCAAGTAAATCCAATAAAACTCAATGAACATTAAACTTATATCCAACAAGATTAAATGATTAAAATTTAACTGTTCTTCAGTTTCCAGCTCATCATTAATTCTGTTTTGCAATAAACTAAGGGTACTTAACAAATCTTTATAACTCATACTCAATAATCTGTTACCAAAGGACTAGTATATCTTGTATCAGAATATCATAATAATACAAAGAGAAAATGGTTTAAACATAAGAAACTGTAGTAACTACAGACCAAGAAAATGACAAGACTACACATAACAACAACAGGTCTGCCTGCTCAACTTCATCCACGACACGCTACTGTGAGAAAGGTAAGAAACCAGTCATCTGGACTTGGAAAGATGCTAAAAAATGATTTTTAACTCAGCACGTGGCTCTGGGCAACCTCCCCATTATCAAAGATTCAAGAAATTTGAGCTGCTGATTCACCGCTTGATCATCATTCATCCGCCTGATGGCCTCCAAAAAAAGAAGTAAATAAGTCTGAAATCTCAACCTTCTCAAGGCCTGTGTGATCTACCTGTCCTCTGCCACTCCACTATCTGAGGCCTCCGGGCTGTGGGGAGGTCGCATATCAATATAACCACTGACGTCCAAAGCAGTGAGCGCTACTCAAGCGTTAAGAAAATGAGCTGTGCTCATTAGGAGAGTCTTCACTGTTGCCCTTGCGTGGAGATGCTCCCAGGACAATCATGTCAGTCTCACCCTGGAAAACCTCGAGCAGGTGAGGTGGCCTGACTCTAAACAACCCGGTGGGAGAGAGAAGTGGGTGGCGAGAGTTAAGTGGAAAATCCCAGGCGCAGCTCGACTCTAGGAAGGTAAGATCGGGTTCAGCCAAGGGTCTATGGCACTTTGGGCGGTGAGACTTACCGCTCCCGGGGGTCCCTGGGGCCCAGAAACCCTATTGCCTCCACCGCCGGGTGAGCGGCCAGCGTCTCCCAGACACACGGCGGAGTCGGCGGGGGCCTGCCTCTGGCCAGGGGTGGGAGACACTCCAGAGGCGCTCCTCTACCCTCCCCCGGAGACTCTAGCCGCCTGCCAGCCACGGAGGGTGCAGGTGTCACCCGCACGAGAGCCCGGGACAGCGCCCGCCACCCTGTCCCTACCTCAGCCCACTCTGCGATCTCGTTCGAGCGCTCTTCCTGGTGACGGTGAAACCGGACTCTCCTTAACTGCAGCTTTTCGCCTCCTCTCACAGCACCGAGACGCCTCCACATGACCCTCCGCCTCTAAAGCAGCTACTCCCCGCCTCTGCCTGGCCGTCCGGCCCTGGATCCCGGCGCGGAGGAAGGAGGGGCGACCCTGGGACGCCTCTCCCGGAAGTGACATCATGTTGAGGGCGCCGGGCCCCGGAGGCGCGCTCTGGAGTTGTCCCGCCCCGGTTCTCTGGTAGAGAGTTTAAATCTAGTTCTGTGACTGGAAACCGACGTTACCTGCACTAGCTTAATTTTTCCAAGAGAACTTTTGCGAAACGGAAGCTACGATACCTAGTTTGCCTTACAGGTAATAAGAAGACTTCAATTCCCAGGAGGAACTACGGCCACCATTGTTCTTGGCTCCTGCTTTTTTGTCATGGGACTTGTAGTTTGGGCTGATTCTAATTGGTTATAGATTGTTTTCCAGAATTAGCAGTGTTTAAAGGATGACAATAGATTCAAAGAGTAGGAAGATAGATCACTACACTGTAGCAGATCCGTCCTACATAATTCAGAAGTTTTCCTTGGTAGAAAACACCTGAAATTCTTTAGTGTTTTTTTACTATCTGGGGAGCAATTTTATTCCAAATGATTATTGGGCTTGTTAGATTTGCGCATCTGAAGACCGATAAAGTTATCAGGAAAGCCGTTCTTTGATAGTCAGATTCCAAGATTCCGATCAGTCTGCAGGCCTGCTCATCATTAGAATTGTGCCGTTTGATTTAAAAATCATTCCATGATTTCTAAGGCTTTGGAGCAGCCCCAAGACTGGAAGAACTGATAATGGTAATCTCAGAATGAATGTAGGAGGATAATCTGGTTTGTGGCATAATAACGGTTTTGGTTTGAGAGATGTTGCTCTTGTGAATGAAACAGAAGAATAGCATCGTACAGAAACAGTGGACTAAAACATAAGTAGTTTTCAGGATAGACTTGGCGGTCTTGGCCTTGACGTGGCAATTGTATCCTTGAATTCTGTAAGTAAATAGGAGTAAGAAAGAAAAACAAAGATAAAAAGGAGCTTTGGAATATGTCCCTCATTTGTAGACAGGGCAGCAGGTGGTAGCAAAAGAGACCTGTGATGAGGAAAACCTGATAGTCCTATATCTAGGAAGCAAAGGAAAAATTAAACTTTGAAGAAGTAAGGATGTATAGATACCATAGTTAGGATAAAGATCTAGGTCCTTGAAATTGTGCAAGAAGAACTTCCTTCACAGATTATTGAAGGAAGCATAACATACATACTGCGTGTTTTCTTTACCTTCTGGAATATCTGGTATTGATAAATGTCTAGATTTTATTTTCAACAAATGAAGTAAACATCTTTAGTGATCAAGAAATAGGCTGGGCGCGGTGGCTCATGCCTGTAATCCTAGCACTCTGGGAGGCCGAGACGAGAGGACTGCCTGGGCCCAGGAGTTCAAGACCAGCCTGAGCAAGAGCGAGATCCATCTCTACTAAAAAAAAAAATAGAAAGAAATTAGCTGGACAACTAAAAAAAAATATATAGAAAAATTAGCCGGGCATGGTGCCACATGCCTGTGGTCCCAGCTACTCGGGAGGCTGAGGCACGAGGATCTCTTGAGCCCAGGAGTTTGAGGTTGCTGTGAGCTAGGCTGACGCCACGGCACTCACTCTAGCCCGGGCAATAAAGCGAGACTCTGTCTCAAAAAAAAAAAAAAGAAAGAGTATCCTGTGGTTGGTCAAAGTAAAAGTTATTACATTATCACAGACCATATCTGATAACTTGTCTCTATTTATGTAATATTTTAGTTCAGCTCCTGGGTACCTCTATACAATGCCTAAGATCAAACTGTATTGTTTACATTTGAATTTGTAGAATAATAGAAGATTGTTTATTCTGCCTCTTTCATCATTTTAATTTTATATGAATATATACTCCTAGAAAGGCAAGATATAATTTTATACAATGATATATTGATAACAGGAAAGTGAGAGAAGGTAGAAACTACAGTAGAAAAAAGCATGTGCAAAGGGCAGGCATTTCTTGAGGTGGCTTCCTAGATCCAAACATTTACCCCTTCTTGAAAATTGGTCTCTTCTACAAGGCTGGACCCCCAGTGACCATGTTTGTAATAGATCACTCTTTTAACAAACGTTTTTTGTCATAGTTGATTGTGCTGTGCTCAAGAAGGAAGTTTGACCCAAGTTGTGTCCAACAGATGCTCTTTCCTAAAATTTGGAGTGAGGGGAAAGACACAGGTTGAAAGTCATAGGAACTAGAGTAAAAGTAAAGGAAACTAAAGTCAATGAAGTCCCACTGCTAAGGTCCCTGGAATTGATCTGGTCCCTTCTCCTGTTAGACTTTTCCTTGGACACCATGAGATAACCTAGTGTTCTTTCAATAGATTAGCTTTCTGAATAAATCTATCCAGAGTTGGTTCTTTTACTTAAAACCAAAAAATACAACTAATGCAGCAAATTGGAATGAGGTGAGCTGAAAATGAATAGTAGATGCTGATAAAATGCCTTCTTAGGTTTTGCAAATAGCTGTCAACAATTCATAATCTAAGATCTTAAAGTATGATATTTCATAATCTGTTGTCTATTTCTAACATAAAAAACATCTCCTCAATAATTTATAACTAAAATAATATAAAAATAACTCCCTCATTAATTATAGGCAGTCCCCAGGTTACAGAGAAGATACGTTCCTGAGAACAACTTTGGGTTGAATTTATATGTAACTCAGATCCCTGATGAACAGTGCATGTATGGTAATAATAATGATAATACTACTACTACTATAGTGGCTCATATGTGGTACTAATAATACAGTATAATATCGTAATAATAATAGTACCCCTGTACTGTAATAATAAGTTGCAGAAACTATTGTGCTATTTCTTTTAATTCAAACAAACAGAACAAATAAAGAGACTCATATAAAAAGTTTAGATAGAAGATAGGAGAAATTTCAAAAAAGAATATTAAAAGTTAACACATCTAATTTTGCATCAATATCTTGCTCACTTGAAGGGGCATTTTTGAGGCAAGAAGGCGGCTAACATTGATCAGAAGTTGTTGATGGAGATGATGCTGGAAAGGACAGAGCAGATGCTGGGGAATCAGGA